TCAGCATGCAGGGAGGGCTGGGTGAGTGCTGGCCATCAGCACTGCTGCAGCCATGAAGATAAACAGTGTCAATTAAGCCTGTGGAACTTGTGATCTGTTAAATAAGTTAACAGCATTCACCAAGTGGCTGCTCTTTACCAGGCATTTTGCTAGAGTGGGCATTCTATATATACGCAGCCAAAGCCTTTCTGGGGAATAGCTGGTATGGATTAAAAAATGGCACGCATGATGCTGTATGATTCCAGTTTTATGACATTCTGGAATAAGCAAAACTATAAGGACAGAGAGTTAACTAGTGGTGGTCGCTGGAAGCTGGGGGATGAAGAAGGGGTGGTAGTTATGTGACTGTACTTATCTGTTAAAAGTCCGAACTATAAACTGAAGAGGCGAGTTTGTGTATATAATAGCTCAGTTTTTTTAAATGTGAAAAAAAGTTTGCATATATGTTTTAAAACTTTACGTATATCTGTGTGGTAAGTAGCTTGTGAATAAAGTACTTTAACTTCCAAAATTTCAAGGAAAAAAAATTTGTCCCTGAACTCAAGGGGCAGACATTGAAAATAAAATGAATTAGTATCTAACTAAACTCCATGCTTTCATTCAATCCACAAAAATTCCTTACCAGAAGCCGGTGAGCAAATAAAGATGAACCAACTCTGGGCCTTGCCCTGCACCACACATAACGTGCTGACACTGCTCCAAAGGCCTTACCTAGAGGAGCTCACAGAACCCTCACCACCACCTGGGCAGGAGTGTGAACACCCTGTTCCCCAGTGAAGCCGAGGCATGGAGAAGTACCGCCTGGCAGGGAATGTGAACACCCCTTTCCCCAGTGAAGCCGAGGCGTGGAGAAGTACCGCCTGGGCAGGGAGTGTGAACACCCCTTTCCCCAGTGAAGCCAAGGCGTGGAGAAGTACCGCCTGGGCAGGGAGTGTGAACACCCTGTTCCCCAGTGAAGGCGAGGCATGGAGAAGTACCGCCTGGGTGGGGAGTGTGAACACCCTGTTCCCCAGTGAAGGCGAGGCATGGAGAAGTACCGCCTGGGTGGGGAGTGTGAACACCCCTTTCCCCAGTGAAGCCGAGGCATGGAGAAGTACCGCCTGGGTGGGGAGTGCGAACACCCCTTTCCCCAGTGAAGCCG